CTGTCACGAAAACAAATTCCTCGTATGTGTAAACATACCTGGCAATAAAGCTCATTCTGATTCTGATATGTCTGGCGGAAATCCAATACAGCTCACCATCCAAATAACAGCATTCCTACAGTAAAGCATGGAGGTGGTATTATCCTGTTATGAGGGTGTTTCTCAGCAGCAGGGATTGGAGCACTTGTCAGGATAGAAGGAAAAATGGATGGGGCAAAATACCGTCAAATTCTTGAGGAAAATCTGCTGCCATTGTTGTGGAGAAAAGTCTTCTCTGTCTTGCAAAATAATGCTCAGGAGGCAGAGTTCCAGAAGTCAAAATTAGACTTTATTGCAAGAAGACAACAAAGCCGAGATGCCTGCAGAACAACTGAATCTTTCACTGTCCAGACTCTTGGTACAATTTCGTTATTGGTCACTGTCCAATGAGTATACAGACCATTCTTTGATACATCATTCCCAGTACTTTCCACAATTGCTTATTATTTTCATAACACTGGCTTTCATTGTAGAAAACCACCAGCTAATCTGTCTTCCAAAAGATAACTTCTCGTATCTACCACTTTCTGGGTGCCCAAGGTTGCAGAGGCATATCAATTTTAGGATTTCAATGAGCTGTCAGGATTTGAAGGAGTTTCACACACTATCTATTTCCTTTTTATTTATTTTCCTATTATCTATTTCCTATTACCTCATCCTGTGGCATCTCCCATCTCTGATACTTCCTTCTGTATTCTCCATTCATATTGCAGTCACGTAAACCATGAGGCCTATACAGTCACTCAGTTTGGCCTTGAGGCCTTCAAATGCACCCAGCTCACATATGAGGCAAACTAACTTTCACAAACATGCAAAGTAACTTCTTCAGTTGTTTTCTATAGGGTAAATAAAATATTTCATCACACACAGGCTAGATTCATTCAAATGCAACTGCGATCATCTTGCTCCTCAATTATCCACTGTAAAATGAAACCTGAGGACTACAGTATTAATAGTAGGCCTGTGGTAATATTGTTGAAGTGTTTGTGTTGTTGCCACAACAATTGTTTTTACACTGGAGTGAATTTAAGACAATAAACAGGTAAGATTTTAAAATTTTTCTTCTCAAATAACATTTTATGTCCTCGTCTTTATTTATCTGGAACCATGGCTGCCATCCGCGGCGCCATCTTGCAAATACAGCTGGATAAAACAAAAACAGTGTCCGTCTTCATTTCAAGCAACAAAATGTGATTATTTTAAAGGGGGTGATTCTTTTCTATACCCACTGTACCTTCATTAAATTGATTTTGGTTAATCGCTAGTAGGGTCTGAAATAGATATAACAGTCTGGGCAATATGTTCATTTTAAAGGGGTCATATGATGCGATTTCAAGTTTTCCTTTCTCTTTGGAGTGTTACAAGCTGATTGTGCTATGATATGAACAGTTTAGGTAAAGAATCAATAGGTTACCGTAGGTACATCAAAATATTGTTTAACAAGATAATTTATATTCATTTTCTCTATTTGTTCTAATTTTAATCCCCTTAATATCCTCATTTTGTGTAATATATTGAGTGAGTTGTTCCAAGTATAATGCAAAGAGTGATGTGACCATGCACATCCCTGTCTCGAGCCTCTTTCCAGAGTAATACGGTTTCTTTTTCCGCATCTACGCTCATCACTATTGCTTTAATTTTATTTTGTTGTATATGCTTTTTTTATGGCCCAATGTAATGTAGGTAGTATAATTGGAACAAGTTCATTTTTAAATTCCTTCAATTGCACTCCTATTCAATTGCACTCCGTCTGTTTGGCGCTGCACGGTTAAGGCTAGATGGGAAACAGCTACGGCTTCTGCAGAGAATCGCATGCAGAAGGCTCCTGACAGCAAAATAGAAATATTACCTTGACTTTCTAATGTTTACAGTTGGAGAATATACCAGTGAAATGTAAGTTGAAAATGTAAAAAATTAAAACAAATCAAAGGATTCTGAAAGAAATATATGCTGGTTTACTCATAAATATTAAGCAGCACAACTGTTCTTGAGCACCAAATCCACACATTAGAATGATTTCTGAGAAATCATGTTTGAGTGGAGTAATGGCTGCAGAAAATTCAGCTTTGCCATCACAGGAATTAATTCGATTTTACATTTATATTTAGTCATTTAGCAGACGCTTTTATCCAAAGCGACTTACAAATGAGGACAATGGAAGCAATCAAAATCAACAAGAGAGCAATGATATGCAAGTGCTATAAAAAGTCTGTTAGCTTAACGCAGTACACGTAGCAAGGTTTTTTTATTTATTATATAATTAATAAAAAGAAAACCGAATAGAAAAAGAATAGAGCAAGCTAGTGTTAGAGGCCTTTTTTGCTTTTGTTAATTGTATAATAAATAAAAAGAAAACGAATAGATAGAATACAAAAAGATTAGAGAAGCTAGTGTTTTTTAACATATTAAGATAGAAAATCATTATTTTGAAATAATGTAACAATATTTCACAATATTACTGATTTTACTGTATTCTTGAGCAAATAAATGCAGTCTTGGTGAGCATAGAAGACTTCTTTCAAAAACATGTATCAAGTTGTACCAAACCTAAACTTTTGAACTGCATTTTATATAATATTTTAAGTTGAAATATCATAATTAACTTTATCGATTGAGCTTTTGCAGTGCTTATGATCTTAATGAAAAAGAAAAATGCCACATTGTTACAATTTTTCCTATACAGAGTAGCTGCCCAGATGCCCACCGTTCATTATGAGCTGCCTAATGGATACAACTGTGATTTCGGAGCTGAAAGACTTAAGATCCCAGAGGGTCTTTTTGATCCTTCAAACGCTAAGGCAAGAAATATCCTTCTTACATTGTCCAAGCGTCTTTGTGTAATGCTAGTATTTATTTATTTATTTTTTACGGCGTCTTAAAATTTTCACAGGGTCTGTCAGGGAATACCATGCTGGGAGTCAGCCATGTTGTGACCACCAGCGTTGGCATGTGTGACATAGACATTCGACCAGTAAGATTTTAAAACACTGCTATACGTCTACATTTACATGTCCTGCATCTCTGCTGCCAATGCAGGTGTCATTATGCTTCCCACATTGTTTTCTTTTTTAAACAGGGTCTGTATGGCAGTGTGGTAGTTACAGGAGGAAACACTCTCATCCAAGGCTTTACAGACAGAATTAACAGAGAACTCTCGCAGAAGACGCCACCAGTAAGTGGCACATTTTATTTAGCTATTTTAGCGTGTCAGGTGGGTCTCTTGAAGTGATTTGTTGCTTTTTTATGATAACATGAATTGATTTTTGTCCTCTCTGCAGAGTATGCGTTTGAAATTGATAGCCAACAACACAACTGTGGAGCGCAGATTTAGCGCCTGGATTGGGGGCTCTATCCTCGCTTCTCTGGTGAGTAGTGTTCACTAGGGCTGTCACGGGATCAGATTTTAACTACACAATTGTGTATGCCAAAAAAAATCCACGCTAACGATATTATTGCAATATCGATAGAGATTTGACCAAAAAATAATGCTATCTGTCAAATGCATAATTTGTTTTATTTCTTTTGACCAATGAATCACACTCAAAATGTGAGTTTAGGGAGGCAGAGAGCTTTTGTAACCATAACCAGCTATGAGAACTGTTAATTGGCACTTCTTTTAGACTGGGGTATGAATGAACTAACTTCTTTCAGGTGCAGTTTCACTGTCCGTCATGTCCTGAAATGATTTTGTGTGGCAGAAGTAGTGTCACACTGCATTGTTGTCGTCTTTTTTCCATTTTATGATGTGTAGCAACCAGCGTTAAGGTGCAGTACGGGCATCTGCTATGTTGGGAGTGTCAGCCAGCATTTACGCCAGTTACTGGCCCTAAATGATGATATTAGATGTACAGTCATGGCCAAAAGTTTTGGCAGTGCCATAAATTTAGTGTTTTTCAAAGTTTGCTGCTTCAGTATTTGTAGATTATTATTTATTTATTTATTATTTTATTTATACTGAAAAACAATGATAAGCATATCATAAGTTCTAAAGGCTTTTATTGGCAAAAAAATATGAGTCAATATTTACAGTGTTGACCCTTGTTCTTCATAACCTCTGCAATTCGCTCTGGCATGCTGGATATTAGCTTCTGGGCCAAATCCTGACTGATGGCGATCCATTCTTGCCTAGTTAGTTCTCGGAGTTGATCACAATTTGTGGGCTTCTGCTTGTCCGCTCGTCTTTTGAGGACTGACCACAGGTTCTCTATGGGATTGAGATCCGGGGGGTTGCCTGGCCGCAGATCCAAAATGTCAATGTAATGATCTTCGAGCCACTTCTTTATCACTCTTGCTGTGTGACATGGTGCTCCATCATGCTGGAAAATGCACAGATTATCACCAAATTGCTCATGGATCATTGGAAGAAGTCGCTCTTGCTGGACTCGATATACCGTTTATATCGATATACAATAGTGGACAGAGTGAGCTGCTGCGGGGAATGTGCATAATCCATTTTGTTCTAAACATGAGACATGCTTTATATTAAGGGCTTTAAAATAACTACTAAGATATAATTACCGTGTAGTTTTAAAGATGCTCTAACAGACTCATGTGCTGCTGACAGAGACACTATTTGTGCTGTTTAATGCGTTTGAGATGTGTGGTTTTCCTCAGTGCATAACTTACATTTCACTGGTATATTCTCCAACTGTAAACATTAGAAAGTCAAGGTAATACTTCCATTTTGCTGTCAGGAGCCTTCTGCATGCGATTCTCTGCAGAAGCCGTAGCTGTTTCCCATCTAGCCTTAACCGTGCAGCGCCAAACAGACGGAGTGCAACTGAATAGGAGTGCAATTGAATAGGAGCGCAATAATTTTGAATTTTAAACCTACGGGTAAGTGTATTTTATGATAGCAGATAGCAGTATGCAGTAATGGGGTAATCAAAAACAAAATGCAATTAATCTCTGCTCTTGTGTTTATTTACTTTCATTTTTAATTTAGTGAATTGAACTTCTGCTTTAAAAAGCATTATTTTTGTTTTTAGATTGTAATGTTACAATATTAGAATGTAATGTGATTTTAGTCTCTTTTTTGCACATAATGAATAGCAAAGCCTACTTTCACTATATTTGTTTTCATTGCCTTTAATATAAACATTGTTTCATTGGGCAGGATGTTAAAAAAAATAAAAAATAAAAATAAAAATATATATTTATTTATTTATTTATTTTTTAATCCAAATAGAAAATGTAGAGAATACCGAGATATATTTCAGGCAAAAAATACAGAGATATGATTTTTTGGCCATATCGCCCAGCCTTAGCAATTAGTAGACTTAAACAAGTTGCCAAGATCAGATGGTTACATGGCAGAGCGGTACAAGGAATTTAAAAATGAACTTGTTCCAATTATACTACCTACATTACATTGGGCCATAAAAAAAGCATATACAACAAAATAAAATTAAAGCAATAGTGATGAGCGTAGATGCGGAAAAAGAAACCGTATTACTCTGGAAAGAGGCTCGAGACAGGGATGTGCATGGTCACATTACTCTTTACATTGTACTTGGAACAACTCAATATATTACACAAAATGAGGATATTAAGGGGATTAAAATGAGAGAAAATGAATATAAATTATCTTGTTAAACAATATTTTGATGTACCTACGGCAACCTATTGATTCTTTACCTAAGCTGATCATATCATAAGAACAATTAGAAAAACTGTCAGGATATAAATAAAGTTTGTTGCTTTGCAGCCTGAAATGACGGCGGACAGTTGTTGTTTTATCCAGCTGTATTTACTCAGTGCACTTACTTATTTACTTATAACATCCAAGTTAAAGATATAACACCAACGTATCAGAAGAAAAACAAAAAAACAGAATCACTGAGATGGAAAAAGGACCTTGTGTCAGTATTTTGTTGAACCACCTTTTGCTTTAATTACAGCCTTTAGTCTGTTGGA